GCAGTGGCACAATCTCACCTCACTGCAATCCCCACCTCCTGGGTTCAAGCAATTCCCTTGCCTCAGCCTCCTGAGTAGCTGGGACTACAGGTGCACGCCACCATGCTCGGCTAATTTTGTGTATTTTGGTAGAGATGGAGTTTCACCACGTTAGCCAGGATGGTCTTGATCTCCTGACCTCATGATCCGCCCACTTCAGGCTCCCAAAGTGCTGGTATTACAGGCATGAGCCACCGTACATGGCCATGCCTGTGTTTTAATGCTTTTTTTTTTTTTAATTTACATGATTCCATGTTATATGAATTGAACGAAGCTATCTTAGCCAATATGGTTGGTAATAAAGGATGCTAATCATAACCGGAAAAAAATTATTTTTTTATCTTTAAATAAGGATACCTGATAAAAATCTACTCAGAATACAAATATTACCAAAATACAAATCTACTGAAAGTGAGATTATCCCCCATAATCTCATATAAAAATATTTAGGTTGGTAGCGGTGGTTCTCACCTGTAATCCCAGCACTTTGGGAGGCCAAGGTGGGTGGATCACCTGAGGTCAGGAGTTTGAGACCAAACTGGCCAACATGGTGAAACCCAGTCTCCACTAAAAATACAAAAATTAGCTGGGCGTGGTGGCAGGGCCTGTAATCCCAGCTACTCAGGAGGCTGAGGCAGGAGGATCACTTGAACTCAGAAGGCGGAGGTTGCAGTGAGCCAACACCATGCCATTGCACTCTAGCCTGGGCAACAAGAGAAAAACTCCATCTCAAAACAAACAAACAAACAAATAAATAAATAAATAATATTTAAAACATTGATTTTTTAAAAGCATCTGGTAGCCTGACCAATAACCAGAGAGAGAAAAAGTAATGCTCCAAGAGTAAACTATTACATTTTAATTCTCAAATCATTTAAATTGATAATTTTATGGGTCCTTACACATAAACAGCTGAAATGTTAAATCAATTCATTAAAGTGTACATAAATTCACTAAATGTTCTTAATCATCATTAAGCCTTAAACAACTGTGACATGAAAATGATTGCAAAGAAACAGTGATAAATTACTTCGAGTTATCCACTATATATTTAAATACTAGGATATTGGTAAGTTATTTGGTATTTTAGGGGATATTAAATATACCATCTCTAATATAATTTATATTATGTCATGCTATCCATAAGTTTATAAACAGAACCTTAAAGTGATTATGCACTTAAAAAAACATATCAGGTAATAAAAAATCTGAACACCAGATTGGCAAAAAATGTGAATATCACATAAAAGTAAATTGGCATTGAAAATGAGAAGCTGTTACCCTGTGAAATTATAATGTAAAATCACACTGGATAAAATGCAGTATCTTGAGTATAATCTGTTATGAATTCTGAAATTGTGTACAAAATGTATATTATATGGATTATAAGACCTTTCTCAAATATAGACTCTTGACATACCTGGCCTGTAAAAGATATATACACTGACAGATTTAGGGAAAAAATCACAATGTTCTGAGCCCAATGTGCCTGTTTGGTCCATAAGTGTCATTTACAAGAACAATCATGATTCTCTGATTCCTGTCTGTTACTCCCATTATGTGCCGGTTGCTCACACCTGTGGTACCAGTCACTCCATCAGACCTGCCTTCTGGGCTGCACACTCTTGGAAGGAACCGTAAAGGAGGTCTAAGGGCAAATATCCTTTCTGTTAGGATCTGACCCATGTCTACACCCCCCTTGCTGGTGCCATATTCAATCTATGAGGACCTATGGGATTCTAGACCTTTGTAATAGATCTAAAACTCCAAAACGAGTTATGGAATTTTACTATATAGTCCTGTTTCTCGGCGTTTTTGTCTTAATCACTTCAGGCTGATATAACAAATTACCATAAACTGGGTGGCTTAAACAAGAAACATTTATTTCTCATAATTCTGGAGGCTGGGAAATCCAAGATCAAGGCATCAGCATGGTCAAGTTCTGGTAACTGCTGAGCGCAGACTGCTAACTTCTTATTGTATTCTCACATGGTGCAAAAAGAGCAAGCTAGTTCTCTGGCCTCTTATGGCAAATTTGTGAAATTTCATATTTAGACATATCAAAGTTCTAATGTTTATTTCAAATAGAGAATCAGTAGGGTGATAGATATTTTGGCAAGAAATATAATTATCTCTCTATATAAACTAATTTTAAATATTAAAGTTTATTTTCCAGGTATGAATTCCTTGGCTCGTATAAAATGTATATTTCAGAAGATCTCTTTCTTTGTTTCTGCTTTTTATTCCAATTTCATAACTTCTCATAAAAAATGAAACAAGATAAAGTTAAATGCTGTGTAATCCAGCTATCTGGAAAAGAACATCATTCTTCTGGTGACACTGAGCATGTAGATGAGGGATCCCGGTGAAGGAAAGCTATCCTGGTGGAACCAAGTGTCCCAGTGGTCGCAGATTTACAGGGAAGGGATTAAGGAAGTTGGGAATGTAGGGGAGGAAAAATACTATTTACTTCCATCATCTTCTTGCCTACAGTCAATTTTGTCTGAGAGTAGTGACAACTACAGAGATGAAGAGCTAAGAAAGACAGTTTCATCTTCATTTCTGACCATTTCACCTCCAAATACGGCATTAAAGGCACTAGTGTAAGGTAGTTTTATTACTCCTGTTCTCCTGCAAGCCTGGAGGACATTGCCTGTGTCCCCCACATCGACTTCCTTCAAGCCAGTTTTGATTCAATTGTTCCCACCCTGACGTGACATAACAGACAATATGGAACACACAAGTGACATCTATATCCTGGAATGCTTTCTCTACCTCAGAGAGATGACATGTCTCCATGTATAAAGTTGATTCCTTCCAGAATGGTTTGAGCAGGAATACTTACGTCAAACAGAATCAAATGGACTCCCTTCTGATTCAGAGAACAACCTAGGCAGAACCCAAAATATCTACCACTTCCTGTAATGACAACAGCTTATTTTTGAAAAAATAATTTCGACTTTTATTTTAGATTTAGGGAACATATCTGCAAGATTTTAACACAGGTATGTGGTGTAATGCTGATGTTTAGGGTATGGATTCCATCACCCAAGTAGTTGAGCATATTACCTAAAAGGAAGCTTTTCAGCCCATCTCCCCTCCCTCCTAACCCATCTAGTAGTTCACAGTGTCTATCATTACCATATTTATGTTAATATGTACTCAGTGTTTAGCTCCCACTTACAAGTGAGAAGAAGCTGTATTTGGTTTTCTGTTCCTATATTGTAAGGATTTATCTAGGATTATGGCCTCCAGCTGCATGCATGTTTCTGAAAAAGACATGATTTCATTCTTTTTCATGGCTACGTAGTGTTCTGTGGTGTGTATGTGCCACATTTTTTTTTTTTTTTGAGACGGTGTCTCACTCTGTTGCCAGGCTTGGAGTGCAGTGGCGTGACCTGCAACCTCTGCCTCCCAGGTTCAAGTGATTCTCCTGCCTCAGCCTCCTGAGTAGCTGGACTACAGGCACACACCACCACATCCAGCTAATTTTTTTGTATTTTTAGTAGAGATGGGGTTTTACTATGTTGGCCAGGATGGTCTCCATCTCTTGACCTCGTGATCTGCCTGCCTCAGCCTCCCAAAGTACTGGGATTACAGGCGTGAGCCACCGCGTCCAGCCTATGTACCACATTTTAAAAATCCAATCTACCATTGATGAGCACTTAGGTTAATTCTATGTCTTTGCTATTGCAAATAATGCTGTTATGAACATAGGAGTATATGTGGGTTTTTTTGTAGAATGATTTTCCCTTAAGTATATGCCCAATAATGGGTTGCTAGGTTGAATGGTAGTTCTAAGTTCTTTGAGAAATCCTCAAACTCTTTCCACAGTGGCTGAACCAATTCACATTCCCCTAAACAGTTTATAAGCATTCCCTTTTATCCACAGCCTCACCAGCATCTGTTGTTTTTTGTAATATGAAAATATTAGCCATTCTGACTGGAATGAGATGGTATCTTATTATGGCTTTGACTTGCATTGCTCTGATGATTAGTGATGTTGAACACTTTTGTATGTTTGTTGGCCACTTGTATGTCTTCTTTTGAGAATTGTCTGTTCATGTCCTTTGCCCATTTTTTAATGGGGTTGTTTGTTTATTTTTTCTTAATTTCAGTTTCTTATAGGTTCTGGATATTAGATCTTTGTTGGATGCATTGTTTGCAAATATTTTCTCCTATTATGTAGATTGTTTGTTTACTCTATTGATAGTTTCTTTTGCTGAGCAGAAGCTTTTTAGTCTAATTAGGTCCCACCTGTCAGCTTTTGGTTTTGTTGCAGTTGCTGTAGGAAACTTAGGCAAAAATTCTTTGCCAAGGCTATGTCCAGAATATTGTTTTTTCTTAAGTTTTCTTCTAGGATTCTTATAGTTTGAGGTCTTATATTTAAATCTTGAGTTCATTTTGAGTCAATTTTGTATGGCAAAAGTAGGGGTCCAGTTTCATTCTTCTGCATATGGCTAGCCAGTTATTCTAGCTCCATTTATTGAATAGGGAATCATTTCCCCATTTTTTGTGGGCTTTGTCAAAGAGCAGATGGCTATAGGTGTGCAGATCTTCTTCTAGATTATCTATTCTGTTCCATTCATCTGTCTGTTTCTGTATCACTACCAAGCTGTTTTGCTTACTGTAGCCTGATAATACAGTTTGAAGTTGGGTAGTATGATGCCTACAGCTTTGTTCTTTTTGCTTAGGATTGCTTTAACTATTCGGGATCTTTTTTGGTTCTATATGAATTTTAGAATAGCTTTTTTTCTAGTTCTGGGGAAAATGACATTGCTAGTTACAGCATTAAATATTTAAACTGCTTTGGGCAGTATAGCCATTTAAAAAATATTGATTCTTCCAATCCATAAGCATGGAATGTTTTTCACTTATTTGTGTCATCTCTGATTTCTTTCAGCAGTGGTTGGCAGTTCTCCTTGTAGAAATTTTTTCTTATTCACATTATGGAAACTTTATTTTTCTTGACCTTTATTTTTCATGTGATTTCTGTGTATAAAGAGTATGAGAGTAACCCTTCTACAAATAAAACTAATTTCCTAGAACAAACAATGACAAAACTGGGCAGGTATTTGATGTGAATCCTTAGGAGTTTAAGCTTCAAATCCAGAAAAGAAGTTTGCTAAAATCACTTTCAACTTTGCATCTGATTCTTCTGAGATCTTTCCATCAACCCTGATAGTGCCTAGCAGGGCTTGGTGCTGAGTGACAACATGAGACAAAAAAGCATTCTCAAACTTTGTAATCTTGCTGGGCTCCTGTTTATCAAGATACCTCCTTACACCCGCATAGATAACAGCCACTTGTTCTTCAGTAGCCATGGGAGAATACTGTCCTGGCTTCATCAACTCAGATGCACACCATGACTCAAAAGCTGTTGAGTGGCAGCATTGAGGTCAGAACCAAATCGGGCAAAAGCAGCAACCTCGCGATACTAAGCCAATTCCAGCTTTATGGTAACTGCCACCTGCTTCATAGCCCTGGTTTGGGCAGCAGATCCGACACGAGACACAGACAGACCAACATTAATGGTAGGGTGGATACCTCTGTAGAACAATTCTGTTCCCAAAATGATCTGTCTGTCAGTGATGGAAATGACTTTCGTTGGAATGTAAGCAGACACATCACCAGCCTGTGTCTCTATGACTGGCAAAGCAGTCAAGGAGCCAAAAGCATTGTTCATCTTGGTTGCTTTCTCCAGCAACCAGTAATATGGGTAGAACACATCACCAGGATACACCTCATGACCAGGGGGTCAGTGGAGTAACAGAGACATCTGACGGTAAGTAACAGCCTGTTTGAATAAGTCATCGTAGATGATCAAAGCATGTTTGCCATTGCCTCTAAAATACTCTCCTATGTAACAGCCAGAGTAGGGAGGCAGGCACTGAAGTGGGACAGCAACCAAGGCCATAGCTGACACCACAATGGTGCAATTCATAGCATCTGCCTCTCTAAGTGTCTTCACCAACTGGGCAAGAGTGGATCTCTTTGGATCAATAGCAACATAGATACAGTACAGCTTCTTTTCATCAGATCCATCATTGAAATATTTCTGGTTAATGACTGTGTCAATAGCAATTGAAGTTTTCCCAGTCTATTGGCTCACACTGGCCACGGCCAATTGGTACCAAGCTATCCATAACCTTAATGCCAGTGTACGTTGATTTCTGCACTGAAACTTGAGGAATGATTCTGGGGGCTTTCATACCAACTCACCTATGGGTATTGGAACCAATTGGACCCTTTCCATCAGTAGCATTGCCAAGGGCATCAATGACATCACCCAACAGCTCCTCAGCAGCTGGAGCGTCCACAGTGACTCCTGTCCTCTTCCCTATATCCCCTTCCTTAATTAGTTTATTGTTTCCAATGACAACACCAACATTGTCAGTTTCCAAGTTCAAGGACATAATCTTTAAGCCTGAAGAAAATTCTGCCATTTTTTCTGCTTGAACATTCCTCAGCCCATGCACATGGGCAATACCATCACCGATACTTAAGCCCAGTTTCTTCAAGGTCAACAGAGGTATCAGCTCCAAGAATATGCTTTCAAGAATAGAGGACATCTCAGCAGTCTGTCTTCTGAAGATGAGTGTTAGAGGTATGGAAATTCCTTGCAGCAGTGAAAGATGAACCCAAGGCATTTCTGGAGACAAGTCCGGCCTGCCAAGGGAGGGCACGCGCCACAGCCGCGACAACGTGCACTGACAGCGTCTTTGCAGTTTCTCCGCAGGCTGTACCTCCGCAGCCGCAGCATCTGGACCCCTTGTACAGATCTTTAACCCTCTTGGTTAGTTGTATTCCTAGGTATTTCTTTTTGTGTTTGTGGCTATTGTAAATGGGATTATGTTCTTGATTTGGCTCTCAGCTTGAATATTATTGGTGTATATGTAACCAGCTCAAGTCCAGCTGCCCTACTCTCAGAAGTCAAAGCATGTGGTGAAAGGAAAGCAACCTTTATTGGTCAAATGCCAGCAGATGGGAGAATCGCTGGGCATAAGGCTCACAAGAGCCATCTCAGCCTTCTGGTCTGAGTGAAGGGGTTTAAGAAAGAAAAAGGGGTGGGATATAGATGTAAGTAGTGAAAAGGGAGTGCATATCTGCATGTCTTACTCCCATAGTTATCTCAAGTAATCGCCCAGCTAGAGGTCTGATTTGCATCATCCTGACTTGGGCATAACTCCCCTGCAGAAGATCTGCACCTGGGTCTCTCTGCCTGGTTTATTTCCCAATTGGTCCCTGGAATTTCTAAGCAAGCACATAATTAGATAAGCAAGCACTGTGCATAGATATACCTGGTGGGAAAGGGAGAGGAACAAAAGAGTCTTATAGTAAAAGACTGCATTCTGAGATTAGGAAGGAAAGGAAAAAATAGTTTAAAAATGCATTTCAAGGCTGGGGTACCCAGTTGTATTTAGAAATGCTTTTGATTTTTGCATATTATTTTTGTATCCTGAAACATTACTGCAAATCATTTAGCAGTTCTAGGGGCCTTTTAGCAGAGTCTTTAGGGTTTTCTAGATATAGAATCATATCATCAGCAGCCAAGCATGGTAGCTTATACCTGTAATCTTACTCTTTGGGAGGCTGAGGCAGTCGGATCACTTGAGGTCAGGAGTTCAAGACCAGCCTGGCCAACATGGTGAAACCCCGTCTCTACTAAAAAATAAAAAATTAGTTGGGCGTGGTGGTGAATATCTATAATCCTAGCTACTCAAGAGACTGAGGCAAGTGAATCGCTTGAACCTGGAAGCACCACTGCACTCTAGCCTGGGCAACAGAGGGATACTCAGTTTCCAAAAAAACAAATACAGAGAGAGAGAGAAAGAGAGAGAGAGAATCATATTGTTAGTGAAGAGAGATCATTTGACCTCTTCTTTTCCTATTTGGAAATCTTTTATTTCTTTCTCTTGCCTGTCTGCTCTGGCTAGGACTTTCAGTACTACAATGAATAGTAATAGTGAAAGTGGGCATCCATGTCTTGTTTTTGTTCTTAGGGGGAATGCTTCTGGCTTTTGCCCAGTCAGTATGATGTTGGCTGTGGGTGTTACAGATGGCTCTTATTATTTTGAGGTGTGTAGCTTAGATGCCTAGTTTGTTGAGGGCTTTTATCCTGAAGGGATGTTGGATTTTATTGAAAGCTTTTTCTGCATCTACTGAGATGATCATAAGGGTTTTGCTTTTAATTCTGCTAATGTGGTGGAGCACATTTATTGATTTCCATATGTTCAACCAGCCTTGCATCCCAGGAGTAAAGCCTGCCTTATTGTGGTAAATTAACTTTTTGATGTGCTGCTGGATTCAGTTTGCTAGTATTTTGTTAAGAATTTTTGGGTCTATGTTCGTTAGGTATATTGGCCTGAAGTTTTCTTTTTTTATTGTGCCTCTGCCCAAAAAAAAAATACCTGCAGAGTTCAAAGACTGAAGAAAATAAGTGCCCTGTGCATTTTCTAATAAAGAGGCTTTGTTGACCCTGGAAGGGACCATTGCAGTAGAATAGTGGAGAAGATGCCAAACTGCAGGGGCTGGAGAGAGAATGAAATGAATGAGGAGGGGAGTGTGGACAGCTCTGTCGTGGGTCTGAAGGATGTAGAAAATATAGGGAAAAACTCAGAAGCATACCTGATGGTTGAGAGTGGTCATATTGATTGGTTAAAGATAGAGCAGAAATAAATAAATGTAAGTGCTGGTGGGGAAGAGCCAGTAGGATGGAGAATTTGCAGGTAGAGGAGAGAGTGATAAGCCAACTGAACTAATGGCTGAGCTGACAGAGTACAGGTGGAATGGCTGGGCATGGAGGAAGATATCTCTTCCCCTAGGCAAGGTGGACACAGAGATAGGTGAGTGCTCTTAGGAATGAAGGCAGAAGTGAGAGGGGGAACAAAGTCAAACATCATGCTTTTTCTACCACAGTACCTAGCACCCTGTTCCTGGGACATAACAGATGTCCAATAAATAAGCGCAGAATAAATGAATTACACTTTCATGTAGTGATGTAATGAAGAAAACTAAAGCACAATAGGGGGTTGAAATATGCTACGTGGGAAGCGAAAGAGAAAGTTGCCCAGGAAAATATGGAAACACCAGGTGGTATTCCAATTGGGTTTGGCAGCTATGCCTTTCAAATGAACTTCTAATGCAGTTGTATGAGTTTCTCCGTCTGTTTGAGAGTTTTTTGTGTAGGAGGAGAACAGAAGACAGTCTGGTGGATTATGATGTGGAATTTTTTTCCATAGGAGGTCTAGCAGAAAGACAAAGTCATGGAGGAATGGGGATACCGACAAAGATTGTCACAATGGGCCAATTTATTCTTTACAATACAATGAAGAAAGGCAGAGTGGAGGTGATGAGTGATAGCTGGAGGAATGTCATTTGGAAAGAGTATACATGTATGTGATGTTATAATTGAATATTCAAAGTCATTTGGAATAATTGTATGTGTATGTGATGTTATAATTGAATATTCAAAGTCATTTGGAATAATTGTATGTGTATATGATGTTATAATTGAATATTCAAAGTCATTTGGAATAATTGTATGTGTATATGATGTTATAATTGAATATTTCAAAGTCATTTGGAATAATTGTATGTGTATGTGATGTTATAATTGAATATTTCAAAGTCATTTGGAATAATTGTATGTGTATATGATGTTATAATTGAATATTTCAAAGTTGCCACACATCTAGGATTTGGCTGTGGAAGTGGATGGCTGACAATCCTGATATTGACAAGATCATACGACTTAGAATTCAGAGTATGGGAAGGGGCGTCTTATTGTCCTTCTCAACTCCTGTCTCAAGATACATGGTCTTCTCACCATGAATTGTGAGTGTGTCACACATAATTTATTAAGAATAATCACTATGAATTTATTAATAATATAATTTAACAACCATTATGTGCCAGTTATAGAAATGATGGTGAAACTTGGTTCTAGAAAAAAAGCTTCAAGATCTTCAAAAAAGCAAAGGAAAGAAATACAGTTCGTGTGGCTGGATGTTGTGAACCTCAAGGAAAAGGGTTTGTTACACAGGAGGAATGACCTGAGCTGCACTGAGGATGGAGAACACCGGCCTCTCCTCCCAATCTCAAGAAGCCTCCAACTCTGAGAAGCGTCCCTTTGCAATTGCTGGAGGTGGGAGGTGGGCAGCGTCTTTGTAGAAGGCTCACTTAAGTCAAGGTGTGTGAGGTAGAGGATGTGGAGGGAGTTGATGAGAATGTAACGGTGTTCCAGAGAGAATATGGTGGAGACATATAGGAGGGAGCATAGACTAAGAGAAATAATGAACAGAGCAGCTTACCTTTTGAGTGGAGAGTCAGGATGGGAGAGAAGGAGGCATGCGAGAGAACCAGCCAGATCATTTCTGAGAGCTAATCTACAAGTGTAGGCATAGAAAAGAGGGCTTGAACTACTTGAAGAGGAGGGAGTCTGGGTTTAGAGGAAATAGCATGTTTGTCACAATGAAGCCTCTTCTATCCAAGGACGCATTTTAATTCAGGCTCCATTCTGTATCCTCTGCGTGAATGCTATGAAGTTTCTATATTTGTCTGTGCCTGTGTTTCCCCATTTCTTTGAAACAAGAAAAAAGAAAATGTTTCCAAACTCTATTGTGGCTGCTGGAATTGTATAATCATTTTATGTAAATATATATGAATATGTGTGGTTTCTAAGAGAGAGAGAGAGAGAGAGAAAGACAGAGAGTGCTAATACAGCACCTGGTATATAACAAGAACTCATTAATGATGGTTGTTACTATTATCAGTTTTCAGCTTTCTATGTTTACTGAATTCTAGTCAATGTTACATCAATATTACTGTATTCTTACCATGCCATAGCAAAGTCTATTTGAACTTTCCTGGCGTGGTCACTGGCAAGTTGGTTTCTATGAACACATCTTTCCTGCCTCAAGGGTTGATGCATGTGAGGCAATAATAAAGCAATGATATAAATTCTGTGGCCTCTGCATTCTCCTTTACCATTGCCCCATTCAGTCTGGTGGAATATAAGACATGCATCTTTTATAGTCTCATATTTATTTTTAGAGCCTGGCCTGTTGCCTTATTTTTGCTCAGAAACATTGATAATTGAATATATTTTTGTGTAAGTAAAAAGTCAATTCAATATGATCCTCTGGATATAGCTCTTATATGGTAACTTTTTCAATTTAACATTTTCCCTAATACTACTCCATGCAGAATAATAATAGAAAATGTTCTTCAATCTGGAAATGTGACAGTTTACTCATCCAGATGAACATTTGGAAAAATTTCCCAAATTTCTGGATCTTTAAAGTCTGAAGCTCTTTTTTCATTTATCTCATCCTAAACAAAATTTAAGTACTGTAAGGAGGAGCGCTCAGTAACATTTTTGTCCTTATAGGATTTCTGCTTTCCTTTATCATGAGCTGCCCTACTAAAAATAAATTGATACATTGTCGGCCAGCTCCAAAAGAATTGACGATTTAATAGTCAAATAATGTGTTTCATGAAATAGTAATTTCAGATCAAATAATTTGTATTCTCTCACTACAGAAAATGTAAAATAGTGCCAAACTGGCAACTGCCTAAACATCTTTGTAGAAAAAAAAAAAAGCTTTTTTTTTACAAAGTTCCAGAAATTCCACATGGACATATTATAATATGCAGTATCTATAATTTTAACAGCTTTGCAACTAACGAACTCTAAAATAGCTACACATTGTTATAATTTTACATTTAGATATTTTCTATCCTAAATAACTTTTCTTTAAT